TCCACTGTCTGACAGTTGCCATTGGATGAGATCTCCTTCAACATCATCCATGGCTTGGATACTGTGCCCATCAGTTCAATAGCGCCGTAAGCCTATCAAACAGATAAAGCATTAATTTACCAAAAAATACATTTTAAACAATTGCCCAGGTCACATTTATTGTACAGTATTTTACGCAACATATACCTGTCTGAGCGCGGCTGACACTATTTTGACGTAACTGTCCCCTCCGACCCTCTTAGCGTCGGCGACCACCCGGTCGTCGAGAGCATTGGCACGTTTAAGGGCGTCCTCCCTGTCCTCATAGACATAATATACCATTTTGTTAGCGTCGCCATTGAAATAGTCTTCCCAGAGCTGATTCAACTGGGAGTCCGTGTATTCAATAGCGGGTCGTCTAACGTGTGCCACACCATAGTAGGCAACACTGGGCGCCCTATCTTTCAGTGGACTGGCAGTCATAGTGCGGGCGTATCCGACACCCGGCCAGTTGTCGTTGATTTTGCGGAACTTCTGGTCAATAGTATTGTCGAGTTTACCATTCTTTACAAAATGTGAGCGCATTGTTGGACAGGCATTGATCTAATGGCGTAAACCATTAATTATATCCCTGGTACTTTCAATTATGATCAGTATATACCTCATGAGTGACTGTGGTATCGGTGAAGAACTTGACTGTTCCCCATTGGGCCTCAAATTCTGGTTATGAGACAAATAAATTTAATTTAATTATAAAAGTATAGATTTCTTATACTTACGGTCTGTTTCCTGAAAGGGTTTCTGATTCTTGAGTCTCATATCGGCGTTAAGTATAGTATTACTTCCTATGACTTCAATCATTTCCCAAACCACCTCTTCATTGGAGTCACCGGACGTCCATTCGGCAGATATATCGAGATATACCTCAACCTCATGAGTGTCAGAATCCAGAGACCAGGCGCTCACAGATATATAAGAGGCCGGGAGTGACAGTCGCTTGAGATCTGTCGGGTCGATGGGTGTGAAGAAATTGACTGCCAGTGCGATGGGGCCGGCATTGAACGTGAATATAGACTGAGTGGGAGTCACCTTAAGGGACACCTGTTTGGCCTGCAATTTGGTGCCGATGTCGTCCTGAGTCGGGTGACCCATAAACTCGTAGGTCTGTCCGTTCACTCTCACCAAACCGGCCATACCTTTAATGTTTCCGTTCCAGAATCGGGGCC